CCTCATCCTAAATCATTTGTAATCGCTGACAAGAGAGCTTAGTGAGCGGAACTTAGTGAGAAGTGCGTTGAACTCAAATCCTGAGTGTTAAAACTTTGAGTCTTTGGTTTTGCCATGCGGTGACTTTTCAGGTAATGTGTGGATGAATTTTAGGTTATTTCTCATGTTTCCTTTTTATAAATGTATGTCCAGAGATTTATCAAAAAATAAAAACATGTTTGTAAATGATTACTTCATCTCCCCTCCTCACATCAAAAGGGCCCTACTCTAATTAAGAGCTGTCTGTCAGCATTTCTAACTCACATTCCTGTTTTTAAAACTTTTTTGTTTCAGTGAATATATTTTTTAAATTAGTAAGACTATCATAAAGAACAACAGAAAAGAAAATATTTTAACATTCATTCTAAGAAGTATTTTTTAATTTCAAAAGTGACAGTAACTTAATAATCTCTTTTATCATTCTGCTCTAATCCTGCCCTTTTTTATTAAATTTTACAGTCATGCAACTTGTATAGTCTTGTAAGGAGAAAACGTTTATCTCATTCTTGGAATGTCTTTGCAAATGCTGAAATGAAAACAGAACTAACCTAACTGTTCATGTGCACATCAAATTCAACATAATGTGTAAGAAAAAGAAACCAAAGACTAGGTCTTTGATAGTCTTTCATAGTGCCCCTGGAGTGCTACACTATAATTTGCTTCTGATTTGCTTGACTATAGGGGTATAGTTTCTGCTTCTTCCCCAAGACTGTTCTTCACTAGCTTTTAGGGTGCCCAAGGGGAACTCAAGAATTATCCATGTTTCTTGCTTCTTCTAGTGCAAGCACACACAGAAGGGTAAAACCCCAAACATTTACAGAACAGAAGGTCAAGATCTTTTAGTTTCTTAGTTTTCTGGTTTAGGGTTCATTATCATTCAGATGAGCAGACCTAACTCTAGGTATGTGTGCATATGATGTCTACATCGGCCCTTTCATGATTTAGAGCATATTGTGTGTCTTATTCAATTATGAAGCAATAGACTTTTAAAAGGCAATGTCTGCTTGACCCTTCTCAGATATGGTATTGATTCCCATTAGGAAAATAACCAATTTGTTTGGCATTAATAAAAAAAAAAGGAAAAAAATGGGAAAATATCAGACAAACAAACAAAAAACCTTTGTTTGAAAGAGACTATCTTTTCAAGCAGTCCAACAAAACAGTGATTCCATATGGACATAATTAATTGTTACTGGGATCCAGAAGGTGGCGTAGTGGTTGAGGCACTGGACTCTCACTTGGTTGACAGTAGTTAGAGTCCTTGATCCAGAGGCTTGAAATTCATGCTGGACACACATGCTTGCATGCTCTAAATGTCAAGAGGAGAATGGAAAAGGAATTGTGGCATGGCCATCCCATCTGGGGGGTGATTTCTTGTTTTCTGTCTCTCTGCCTCTCCAGTAAGCACATGCATCCTATAGCAAAAATCTTTCTCAAAAAAAATAAAATAAGATAAGATAAAATAAAATAAAATAAAAATATAAGAGGAAGCAACTTGTTCAGCATTACAAAAAAAAAAACAACAAAGAAAAAATAGGAAACTATAAAAAACAAACAAACAAACAAAAAACACAACCCTTTATTTGAAGGAGATTATCTTTCCAAGCAATCCAATAAGGCAGTGACTTAATATGGCTATAATTCCTTTTTCTTGAAAACTTTTGTTATGAGTGTCATTGGACTATAGTTGAATACATCTTTCAGAGTTCATAGCTCATATAATGATCAGAGTTATGAAAAATTAGCTCTCTCTTATTAGGTTCTGGTCAAAGAAACTCAGAGAATAGTGAGACATCAAAACCAATGAATCTCTAAACTCTCTCACCCCCAACAACTGTCAGAGACTTAACAAAGAGAAATGCCTTTCGTCAAAGGACGAGTATAAACTTAAATATGGTAAAAGATGAGCAGACAATATATGTATTAGTTTGATCCAAGAAACTGACATCTTTTATTGGTCAAAAATGATCAAATACTGATAATTTCATAAGGTCCAACGCAATATTAATATCCCAACAAGTAAACCATTTTGACAAAAGTCTTATGAATAAAAAATGCCTCTTATTTCTTCCTTTTGCCCAAAATATTTTACTTTCTCTTTTCCTAAATCAAAGAAAAATCAAGGAAAAATAAACCAATGAACAAATATGGTAAGAAACAGTTTATAAATAAAAAAGAGAGATGTGATCAATACTAACAGAGAATAGATATTAGGAATTAGAACTGCAGATAAACAAACAAACAAAAAAATAAGAATTTAAAGGAAAATTACAAAGTGAGTGGGTCTGCCAGTGGTGTGGTAATTATGGGGCTGAATCCCACATGGTTGGCTGTGCTGTTCAGTCCTGGGCCCAGGGCCTTGGTTGTGTGGAAGCCCAGGATTTCAAGAGGAGAATGGAAAGGAGATTGAGGCATGGCTATCCCTCCTAAGGGCTACTTTTCACTTTCCCCCTCTCTCTGTCTCTCTGATGAGTGTCCATGCCCTACAGCAAACTAATAATAAATAATAATAATAATAATAATAATAAACAATGCCCCAAATACAAAGGAACCATAATAGCTAGAGAAATATTGACATTCCACATAGAAACACCTAATGTAAAAACATTCTTTTTTTTTTCATTAGTTAATGAAAAAAATATGTATTACTGACAATTTGATCACTTGACTTGAAAACAGGAAGTGTCTATAATTTGATTATGTGTATTCAAATCCCCACTTTCTTTTATGGAGTCATTTTCTATATATGAAAAAAGGGTTGGACACATTCGTGTCTACTCCTGATCCACTAGCAATATTTCCTCAAATTAAATATTCCTAAGAAAAGCAGTTTTTGCTTTTCACAAGCTGCTGAACAGTCAAAAATGTGTATGCTTTAGAAGTCATATGCTAAATTAAAAGGAATCTGATACAAGTTTAATGAGAAAATAGGAAAGGAAAACACACAGTTAAGTAAGGAGAGATACCAGACAAGAATACAATGAAAAGTTCTATGTAAAGAAACAGTAAACAAAAGACAAACATTAATACAATGGAAGGTAGATAGATTTTTAATTAAAAAAAACGATTACAGATTCTATTCTCCACTAACACACTTTGACTAATATATTTAGAAGTATACATATTTTCATGTTTTCTCTATAAGGAAAAGATCACTTTCCTCATTAAATACTAAGAAATACAAATATTATATTTCCATTATTTGAAACAACTAATCCTTGTGGCCCTTGAATCTCCACAGGTATTGTTAAGAAGATAAAATTGTACATCCAGAGGAAACCTGTAATTGATTTTCATCTGAATACACTTGGGTGCTTACTTGACTTTCATGATAATGAGATAAGAAATAACAGTAGTCTTGAGGGTATGACAATTGTTTCAAAGGAAAACATGGAGATACTGACTGATCATTATCTTTAATCACAGGTTTCTTTGTTGCTTCATTAATATTTTCATCAGTAGTTCAAGTAAAATTATAAATGACATTCTAGTGTGTAACATTTGTAAAAACAAACCAACGCAACCAAATATTTGTAAATGTGTATTAAAACGTTACTTAAGTAGCAGCATGTCTTCTACCAACTGCGTTAACTGGCAGCTTGAGGTGGTCACTTACTAGAATTAGTGCTGTCATCCTTGGTTCCATCGAGAGCTCCATCGGGGTGCATTTGCAAGTAGTAGCCTTGCCTGCAATATAACCTGGTCACTATACCCTTGAGCTGGGGATCTGAAAGGCAAACACAGTTATCATAAGCCTCACAGTGTGTTACAATATAATTTCTTTCTTCTTTCCTGTTTTTCTCTTTTTCAGAAGTAAGGGACATTTTATAGAAGTATTACATATGACTTTCTATCTCCCAGATTCCTCTGTGTTTTATCAAACCTGGAGTATGGTAATTACAGAAAGTAAAGAAAATGCAGGAGGAAGCTGCAGGAACAGGCCATTTTATTAAATGAATATACGTGTATTCAAAACAACTCATTCAAACTACCAAATTTATTAAGCCATTAGTTCAATTAATAGTTTAAACTATAAACTAATTAACATTAAGCTAATATACTGTCATTCAAGATGGCAGTACCATAGTTTTGCAAACTTGTGACTCTAAGGAGTAGAGGCTGAGGAAGGACATTAACGAGAAAAACAGAGGCAAGGCATTTATGGGACAAAGAAATGGATTGTTATCTATTGAGGATAACTTATAGTATCGTCAAGTGGACTGCTGAGAAGTGTACATATGTTGGAATATTCACTTTGTAACCTAAGTGACGAGATTGAATGTATAAAAGAAATTGAAATGAAAAGAAATGGAAAAAAAAAAAAAACTTGTGACTCTAAGGAACTTCACTGAAGGCTTTTTAATAGTGTTTTCCTTTTAATTAAGTTGACAAGTACCCCAAAATATGAAACGCCTATCATTTAAAAATGTATACTATTTTGTACACATTCTTAGAAAAAGCCCCAATGTGGAGAACATTCCCTTATTGTCTAAAGGTCACTCTAACATGCATGGAAGAGTTTTGTGGTACTTAGACAAGATCCTCAGGAAGGTGGAAAACTCTACTTCGGTCCTCTGGGGAAAGCACAGCCCACTTATACAGTGAGGTTGATTCTGAGCCAATTCCCTGGATGAAGGAGATGGATTACACAGGTAATCCATGAATTTATATCATTAAAAAGAACAGTCAAATTATACAGCATGGAATCTGATTCTTTGTCAACATGCAATGGCCAAGGGATAAAGGGCAGTGGAAGTTTATTAAAACAAAAATGGAAATGGATTTAGAAGTCATATGCTAAATTAAAAGGAATCTGATACAAGTTTAATGAGAAAATAGGAAAGGAAAACACACAGTTAAGTAAGGAGAGATACCAGACAAGAATACAATGAAAAGTTCTATGTAAAGAAACAGTAAACAAAAGACAAACATTAATACAATGGAAGGTAGATAGATTTTTAATTAAAAAAAACGATTACAGATTCTATTCTCCACTAACACACTTTGACTAATATATTTAGAAGTATACATATTTTCATGTTTTCTCTATAAGGAAAAGATCACTTTCCTCATTAAATACTAAGAAATACAAATATTATATTTCCATTATTTGAAACAACTAATCCTTGTGGCCCTTGAATCTCCACAGGTATTGTTAAGAAGATAAAATTGTACATCCAGAGGAAACCTGTAATTGATTTTCATCTGAATACACTTGGGTGCTTACTTGACTTTCATGATAATGAGATAAGAAATAACAGTAGTCTTGAGGGTATGACAATTGTTTCAAAGGAAAACATGGAGATATTGACTGATCATTATCTTTAATCACAGGTTTCTTTGTTGCTTCATTAATATTTTCATCAGTAGTTCAAGTAAAATTATAAATGACATTCTAGTGTGTAACATTTGTAAAAACAAACCAACGCAACCAAATATTTGTAAATGTGTATTAAAACGTTACTTAAGTAGCAGCATGTCTTCTACCAACTGCGTTAACTGGCAGCTTGAGGTGGTCACTTACTAGAATTAGTGCTGTCATCCTTGGTTCCATCGAGAGCTCCATCGGGGTGCATTTGCAAGTAGTAGCCTTGCCTGCAATATAACCTGGTCACTATACCCTTGAGCTGGGGATCTGAAAGGCAAACACAGTTATCATAAGCCTCACAGTGTGTTACAATATAATTTCTTTCTTCTTTCCTGTTTTTCTCTTTTTCAGAAGTAAGGGACATTTTATAGAAGTATTACATATGACTTTCTATCTCCCAGATTCCTCTGTGTTTTATCAAACCTGGAGTATGGTAATTACAGAAAGTAAAGAAAATGCAGGAGGAAGCTGCAGGAACAGGCCATTTTATTAAATGAATATACGTGTATTCAAAACAACTCATTCAAACTACCAAATTTATTAAGCCATTAGTTCAATTAATAGTTTAAACTATAAACTAATTAACATTAAGCTAATATACTGTCATTCAAGATGGCAGTACCATAGTTTTGCAAACTTGTGACTCTAAGGAGTAGAGGCTGAGGAAGGACATTAACGAGAAAAACAGAGGCAAGGCATTTATGGGACAAAGAAATGGATTGTTATCTATTGAGGATAACTTATAGTATCGTCAAGTGGACTGCTGAGAAGTGTACATATGTTGGAATATTCACTTTGTAACCTAAGTGACGAGATTGAATGTATAAAAGAAATTGAAATGAAAAGAAATGAAAAAAAAAAAAACTTGTGACTCTAAGGAACTTCACTGAAGGCTTTTTAATAGTGTTTTCCTTTTAATTAAGTTGACAAGTACCCCAAAATATGAAACGCCTATCATTTAAAAATGTATACTATTTTGTACACATTCTTAGAAAAAGCCCCAATGTGGAGAACATTCCCTTATTGTCTAAAGGTCACTCTAACATGCATGGAAGAGTTTTGTGGTACTTAGACAAGATCCTCAGGAAGGTGGAAAACTCTACTTCGGTCCTCTGGGGAAAGCACAGCCCACTTATACAGTGAGGTTGATTCTGAGCCAATTCCCTGGATGAAGGAGATGGATTACACAGGTAATCCATGAATTTATATCATTAAAAAGAACAGTCAAATTATACAGCATGGAATCTGATTCTTTGTCAACATGCAATGGCCAAGGGATAAAGGGCAGTGGAAGTTTATTAAAACAAAAATGGAAATGGATGTAGCAATGGCTTCTTGTGTGATGATTCAATAGAAAGATAAGCCCTCTCGTAACCCAGTGCTTCACAAAGGGCCAGCTGTACCACTGAAAATAAATATTTGCATGTGGCTTTTCTCAAAGGCCATCCCCATCGCAGGACTAGATTCGATGTGGGGCATGGTAATCCTCACCATGGCAACGGTATCTCCTACAGTAGCTGAATGGGGCAGCAAAGGCAACCTGCTGTCACACAGCAGGACACGACTGAGTGATGACACCTCACATCTTGTAATCGATAAGAAAGATGGGGAGTTGCAAGCAGGTGAACACGAATGATACACAAGCAAAAAATAAATAAATAAAAGCTGTTCAAAAACAGAATGTCTTTAGGCTTTTGACTAGTCCTCAAGAAATGAAAAAGAATGCAATGTCTGTTCCTATGCATGTCTTGTATAGCTAATAATTTGAAAAATGACTTCTTTGTACGTAGATCTTCTTCATAGATGATGTGATATTGAAAACAACTTCTGGAGAATAATGTACGAACAGCACAGCATTACGACAGCATTGTGGTCGCTCTTATCCAACTGTTAGGTTAATGTTACACACGTTCCTCATTCTATAGTATACGACTTCCAAAACCTCATGCTTCTAAGATGTGGATTAGTAAACATGAAAAAAATGACTATCGTGCCTGTCCGCCTTCTACCTAAGAAGACTTGATTAGTCTACTAACCCTCTGAGTACTAAAAGCTTCTTGTTTTGCTATATCTTTTTATTTTTTTAATCCTCCTCACGTAACAGATAGCTGTGAAAAGAAGAGAACAAAGACTTTTTTTTTTTTTTCTTCCAGCTGGGGGAGAATTTCCAGATTATCTTGGAAACATACAGAGAATTTTAAAGACTGACCATTTTCTATACGGTATCTCCTACAGTAGCTGAATGGGGCAGCAAAGGCAACCTGCTGTCACACAGCAGGACACGACTGAGTGATGACACCTCACATCTTGTAATCGATAAGAAAGATGGGGAGTTGCAAGCAGGTGAACACGAATGATACACAAGCAAAAAATAAATAAATAAAAGCTGTTCAAAAACAGAATGTCTTTAGGCTTTTGACTAGTCCTCAAGAAATGAAAAAGAATGCAATGTCTGTTCCTATGCATGTCTTGTATAGCTAATAATTTGAAAAATGACTTCTTTGTACGTAGATCTTCTTCATAGATGATGTGATATTGAAAACAACTTCTGGAGAATAATGTACGAACAGCACAGCATTACGACAGCATTGTGGTCGCTCTTATCCAACTGTTAGGTTAATGTTACACACGTTCCTCATTCTATAGTATACGACTTCCAAAACCTCATGCTTCTAAGATGTGGATTAGTAAACATGAAAAAAATGACTATCGTGCCTGTCCGCCTTCTACCTAAGAAGACTTGATTAGTCTACTAACCCTCTGAGTACTAAAAGCTTCTTGTTTTGCTATATCTTTTTATTTTTTTAATCCACCCCACGTAACAGATAGCTGTGAAAAGAAGAGAACAAAGACTTTTTTTTTTTTTTTCTTCCAGCTGGGGGAGAATTTCCAGATTATCTTGGAAACATACAGAGAATTTTAAAGACTGACCATTTTCTATAAGCCTTCATGTCCTGGCATCCTTATGTCTAAATAATCTTGTATTTTAGCTACTGCATCTTCTGGAGTTGAATTAACCAGATCAGGCAAGGCAGTCAAAAGACCCTCACGTTCCCACTCATGGCTCCTGACATTTACACAAAGAACAGATTTGGACCACACCTCTTTTCTGTTAAGAAAATCCATGGCCTTTCTGTGGCCTAGTAGTTGAGGGAGCTGGATCCCACATAGTCATCTGCAAGATTTGAATCCTGGCTCAGGCACCTTAAAAAATATGGAGGGTGGGGACCAGCAGTTAGCTTAATGGCTATGTTGCTGGACTCCCGCGTAGTCGACTGCAGTATGAGTCCCGGACCCGGTGGCTTAAACTCACGCCAACTCACGCCATGCGTGTAGACGTGCGTGCCCGAGATCCCGAGAGGAGAATGGAGGAGAAGGGATTGCGGCATGGCCATCTCCCTGGGAGGTGATTTCTAGCTTTCTGTCTCTCTGTCTCTCTCTGTCTGTATGGCGAGCGCACACGCCCTATAGCAAAAATCTCTCCAAAAAAATAAAAAAATATATGGAGGGCATGTGTGTGTGTGTATGGTGTGTGTGTGTGTGTATGTGAGCCCCAAATCTGACTGGGTGGGGAAGCATAAAAGGACTGCAGCATGTCTCCCTCTGGCAAGCAAATGTGCCCTCTTGAAAGTTAAACCAAAATGAAAGTATAAATAAAACATGAAATTATGGTCTTGAGATCCCCTTTAATTTTAAGTAAGTAAAAATCAAATTGATTTCGATTGTTCTACTTTGAAATTATTATTATTCCTCTTTTTAGAAGTTATAACCAAGTGTGCTCTTTCCAGGTCTTAGGCCCTATTCCACCTGCGTTCATTCCATCATGACCTTCTCAGACACTAAGCATAGTCTTCCTCCATGGGAAATCCAGGTTGAAGATGAGGAAATTAAGACACAGACCAGTTAAGTATCTGGACGAGAGCACAAACTTAGACATGCAGACCAGCATGCAAGCATGTAGCTCAGGGTGTCCTACGTAGCTGCTACGCTGTGTGGCATCTGTAAGTTTAACAATTGAACTAAAGCATGGCAGAGACGTACAATGCAAACCTATCTGTTTTTTCAAAACCAACAAAAACAAGCAGGATTTCACAGGTGCATCTAACCCCAAGTCCCATATATGGAGAGCTGAACTTGTGGCAAAGAGACACCACCAAGGTTAGAAAAGATCCAAGTTCATAAGCCCCATCCTCTTTGCCATTGGCCACATGTCCAATAAAGTTCCACTACCTAAAACCGGCACCAAAATTGCACGTTCAGTGCTGTGAGTTTAAAACATCCTCCAGCACCATTTTCACTTTAAGTCTTTCATCTCTAACCAAAAGATATTTCTATTCCTGCCTTTACAATCTAAGTGAACAGAATCAGTCCCCTGAGATCAGCACCCAGATTGTCTCTTTATTCCACGGAATGAGCAGCCCGTTCCCATGGATGCCGATTTCACAGGTCCCTCACGCCCTGCCTTTTCCTGTTCTCACTGCCCACAGCTGGTCAGGTCCTCATGATCTCTCCCAGGAGGCCTTCCCACCCGCAATTTGCCTGTTCAATCCACCAGGGCTGGAGGTGTGCAGTGAGTCTTCAGCACCCACTGAGTCATGTCCATCCCACATCAGCAGGACCCATCACATCCACTGGCCTTGTTTCCAACTGCCCCCACTCTGTCCCCTGCACGTAACCTCACCTGGGAGCTACAGATATTCCCACTCCCTCCGTGTTTATCCTGTCTCCTTACCTTTTCCTATCTTGGCTATGCCCACCTGCATAAAAATGTCCCTGCATTGCTGTGCAGCAGGAACTAACAAGCACAAGTCTCTGCACACTTAGCTCCTTGGCCTCCTCCTCAAGCCTTGCTCTGCCGCTTGCCTTTCCTCAGGGGCACTTTCCTGACACTGCAGATGAGGTCACATCCTTCTTCTGGACTGCTTTATAGCAACTTCCATTGTAAATGTAGCTTATTTTTGACCATCAAAACTATTTGATTTGGGGGGCCAGCAGACGGCAAAGTGGTTATCACTGAACTCTCACATTGCCTACTGTGGTTCAAGACCTGGATCTGGTAGTTTCAAAATCACGCCAGACACAGGTGCATGCGTGTCCGAAGTCCCAGGAGGAGAATGGAGGAGAATCAACTGTGGCATGGTCATTCCCACCGGTGGTGGAGGGGGTTGATTTCTCACTTTCCTTCTCACTGCCTCTGTCTGTTTCTTTCTCAGGCAAACATATTGCACTCTAAGGCAAAAACCTCTAAAAATTTTTTAAAAAGCTAT